TCGCAGATCTCCACGCGGCCCGAGGATCTCGGCGAGACCGTGTGCTCGCTCAAGTTCGCCGAGCGAGTGGGCCAAGTGGAGCTGGGGCCGGCTAGACCCCGCAGGGCCCCGCGCTCGGGGACGCCCTCCTCCCTGAGCACCGAAACACCGCTCACCGGGACGCCCTGCACACCGACACCATCCCCCGGCAGCCCGCCAAGCCCTGGCCTGGACAGCGGCTCCAGCTCAGCCCTCTCACCACCAGAGGAGCTGCCTTCGTAGTCCCACCCTAGGAGTCTGGAGTCGCGTCTCTGCCGGCAGAGGCAGCAAAGACCCCACTCTCCTCATGACCTCCTCGACCTCTAGGGACCCAGTGCCCCCGAAACTCCCAGAGTCTAACCCGCCTCTCCTCCAACCCCATGTTTGGCCTGGAGTAAGGATTGCCTCCCCTTGGCCCAGGCTCTCAGCCCCTTCCTTATCACCATCTGATGTTATCGCGGTGCGCCGCAGGGGGTCTCAGAGCTGGGAGGCAGACCCTGGCCAAGTGGTCACCAGAGTCACTACCCAGCCACCAAATATCAGACTTGCATTAAAATGTTGTCTGTTCCTTTACTGTTATCTTCCCCACTACCACCATCAAAACCAGGTAGGGCCTCTGTTCCCTTTCCCCCAGAAGGTGCTACCTCCTTCCCAGGCATTTGAGGGAGGACAGGATTTCAGGCCAGAGCTGCCATTAGGCTTTCCCTCCCCCAGCCGGAGCCAGGGAGGGGAGGTGACTGATGGTGATGGATGGTTGGATAGATGGGCAGAGGGCCAGAGATGGTGGGACCAGGAAGGGCTACTCCAAACAGAGCCCTGGTCCCAGCCTTGCCTTGGGGTAGGTGAGGCATGGCTGACTACCAGGGCCAGGGTGACACCCAGCTGGGCCACAGCTCTTCTGGGGCAGTCCAGTAAACATGTGGACTCTCAGCTCAAGTGATGCCTCGTGTCTCAATGCTGCTGTAGCTACGCACACCTCTTGGTCCTCTTGTCCTTGGTTTCCCCTCAACAAGCCAGATGGTGGCGGGAGAGGGTGGGAGAGGAAAGCTGCCCCTGCCCTGGGAGGCTCACAGGCTGCACCAGGAGAGGAGCCAGCCTGGGCTGGGGGCAGCCAGGTCTCGGGGGTGGCTACCCCACACATCGTAGATGCTCTTATTGGGTGGCACCCCCTGGAAGAGGGCATCTAGATCCCAGAGCACCCCTGGGGGGCTGTGGGTTTCAGGGGGCACCCCCCAGTAGGCGGGGTTGGTTGAGGGTGGGCACCGGGGGCAGGAGGTGGGTGGTAGTGGGGCCAAGGGCATTACCACATTGGGAGTGTAGATGGGCAAGTAGGAGGTGGGCAGCTGTCCCCAAAGCGAGGCCCTGTGACCTCCACCAGACAGCCCTCCTGGGTCTGAGGTACCCTGCAGTAAGTGAAGGGGCCATGTTCTGGAATCAGGGGAGAGGGGCGAGGGCCTGCTGGTTCCACCCTGGGAAGTCTCCCCCTCCACTCTCATGGGCCCTGGGAGGGGGCAGAGGGGCCACAGAGGCCTCTCAGAGGGCAGGAGTGCAGTGGGTACCTCTTCCTCCCGATTGCTCACTGAGCCTGACCGACTTGGGCTGCTCCGTGGCGCCCCCTCCCGAGAATTCCCTAACAGAGACTTTATGCTGAAGCTCTCGCTGGGCGGTGGCTGGGGACTGGGTGGCTGGTAGGGTCGGCCGTGCAGCACGTAGGGGCCCAGGTCCTTGGCGAAGGCGCCCTCGCACCTTTGCTCTGCCAGCGCCGGCACAGGGCCGTGTTCTGCAGCCGCAGCGCCTCGGCCGGGATCAGGCTTACATCAACCGCCCAGAAGTTGCCCTTGGCCTGGGGCTTCGCAGGATCCTTGGGCACCTGGTGGGGGAGGGGGAACAGTTTGGGTGGGGCAGCCCCACCCCGGATACTCAGGATTTCCGCCCGCGTCCCACCCCCAGGCTCTGACCCTCGCCCTGCCCCACCTTGTGGAAGCACCGGTTGGAGGAGAGGTTGTGGCGGATGGAGTCTTTCCAGCCCTCGTAGTCATCCCTGAAGAAGGGGAACACAGCCTGGACCTGACGGATGATCTGAAACCAGTGGGCGGCCAGTCGGCCTGCACCATGAGCCAGGCGCGCAGTGGGGCACCTCTACCCCTCCCCTCATCCCCGCATAGGTCCCTTCACAGAACACCTCTGAGCCCAGGGGAAAAGGGGACACCATGCCGGGTAGGGTCCTGCCTTAGCATTTGAGCCCTCTCCCTGGGTGACCAGGCCGGGACTGGCCCCACTGGCATAGCTGAGTAGGGCCAATTCGGGGTGGAGGCCAGAGCCTGAGCCTCTTGAGTAGGTCCAGGTGAGGGACAGGTCTGGGGACCGATCGGTAACAGACGGTAAGGGAGAGCGGGGATCCTCTCACCTGGGCCAGCTTCAGCCTGCGGGAGGGTGCAGCCTGGATCACCAGGGCGATCATGGCCAAGTAGGTGTACGGGGGTTTGTCATGCCGCAGATATCTCTTCTTCCTCCTCTTGGGGGGCTGGGAGGGCGACTCCCTCTCGGGGAGCCCCAGGCGTGGGTTGCTGCAGGGCCCCATGCAGGGGAAGCAGGCAACGTGGGCAGGGGCCTGGCCAGGTGGTGGGCGCAGGGCAATGGGGCAGTGTGACGAGGCAGAGCTGGGGCCTGAGGCCAGGCGGGGGCAGGCGGGCCAAGCCCTTTATCATTCGGATGGAAGGGGGAGGGGAGGGGAGGCAAAGGGAGGTAGAAATAGGTGGTGGGGGAGGGGAGCATGCAGAGGGCAGCCACAATTAGCAGGTTTCGGTTAATCTGGAAGGGAGGAGCAGGGGAGATTCCAGTGGGGGCTGCAGGCGGCCACCCAGGCCTCATTCCTCACTCCTGGGCTGCCTTTGGCACCCCCCAAGAGGTGGAAGGAAAAGCCCTTCCAAGGGGTTTATGACCCACAGTTCCTTTATCCCAGCTGGATCTCAGGCTCGCATTTAACAAATGGAGTGATTTGCCCAAGAAGGGGTGGGCCCTGCCCAGAGTTCAAGGCCGAGCAGCTAGCCCTAGCCCGACTTCGGTGGTAGTCTAGGAGGACTTCCTAGAAGAAAGTTCAGAAACAAAAGAGGGACATGGTTGACTCAAGGGATTTTCCCCACAGGTTGCTGCAGGGCCCCAGCAGGCTTCCCCTGGCCCTTGAGGCCACTTTCCTTCCCACCTTGGTGCGGGTCCACAGTGGGTCCTGGGAGCTGACCAGCCCTCCTTATTCACTGTGTACCTCACGGCCCTGGGAACCTGGATCTGCCTGGCCCCAAATGACATCCTGGAAGCATGTTTGTCTCCCTCTTCCTCTTCTGGGCCCCCTGGGAGAATGCCACTTGGTTCTCTTGGGCACTCAGGCAGTGTGCCCTTGGGAGGGTGTGCATGGAGGGAGAGGCCTTCTAGCTGTAAGGGTTCACTGGGGGCCAGGCCTTGGGAATACAGCCCCATGGGTTATGGTTTCTTCCCAGAGGTGCCCGGGAGGACCACCTGGCTTCACACTAGGCAAGAGTGTATGCAGGTGTGTTACATATGGGTTCACAGAAAAAGCTTTCCAGGCAGCCTCAGGGCCCTGCAGGTTAGGTTAGGAGGGAAATGCTCCCCAGGCTGGTGGGGAGCTGCCCTGAGCAGAGGAGGGGCACTCCAGGAGAGGGAGTGGAGACTGGGGAGGCCTGCAGGGCCAGCACCCCCTTCTCAGGCCTGGCCCCAAGGTGTGGTCCTGGAAAAATGCATCTGGCTGCTGCCCTGAGACATGGTCCTCCTGTGTCTCAGACCCTTCTGTCCCCTCACCTCCTCCCTGGACATCTGGTCTGTGGCTCTGTTCCTCAAGTCAGTCAGGGCCTGTGCTCTGTACCCTGCCTCAAAACCCAGATTCCCTGCTGGTGAGGACTGGGCACCAGCAGTGGTGGTGGTGTTGGTGTTAGGACCCCAGGACCTGAGGGAGGTCACGGGAGCACAGGGACACGCTTTATATCACTTTACTCCAAGAATTCAGCTTTTCATATGCAGCAGCACCCCCCCATTATACCCTTGAAGTATTGAAAATCTGCAGCATGCAGAGGGTGCCCAGCTCTCACTGAGGTACTGAGGGAAGGAATGAGGGATGGGAGCCCTGGAGGAAGCCTGAGGCTGGGATGGATGATGCATGGGGGCACCACACTGTCCCCTCCACTATCTCAAGCCCTCCCTTCAGACGGCACCGGGCCTCCTCTGGACTCCTACAACACCCCGCCAACTCCTGTCTGTTTCCAGGGCTCTAGCTGAGGGATCCTGGTGTCTTACCAGGCTACATATAGCTTCCTAGCCCCACGGGGTCAGCAAAGACGTCTTTCTCACCAAGTCTTAAGTCACACCCTTTCCTCCACTGGTGCTCCCTCGCTTCCAGGATAAAGCCCGCTCTTGGTTTGGCGTTCAAGGCTCCTCATGTCCTGACTACTCATCACCGCCCGCACTTACCCCCGCTGCCAGCCCCCACCCTCCTAAACGCCCACCTCGGCTCTTCCCATATCTGCAGTGCACTGGGTCCTTCCACTTTGACGCAGGCTGTTCTTTCCACTCGTGATGCCCCTGCTTTGGGGTCAGTCGAGGGTCGAGTGAACTGTGTGTGACCTTTCCTTAAAATCAGCATAAATAGATGACCACCTTTCTAAGAACCTTTTGACTACTTGCCCTCCCGGCCTCAGCCGGGTCTCATCCGCACCGAGGATCG